AGAATAAACGAAAATTATGCTAAAATACTTTAATTCAAATTTTACACATTTCTTTGTTTCTGTGTCTGTTGAGAGATTAATTTTGTTATTCAGTATAAATAAAATAGTATCTAAATATAAAGACTTAAAATAAATAACTCTTGGAAATTTTTTCCTGTTCTGGAATTTTTTTTAAAAAGAAATATATACAGTCCTTGTTTGCATTTGGTAAATATAATATTTACTGCATACTTACAAATGTTTAAGTACTTTTTAAGATAAAAAAAATTAGCTTTTGGAATATCGGATTTCTTGTTTTCTGAAATGTTACCAAATTAATGTTTTGAAAACTACTCTATTGTAGAATTACTTAGGCCTAGTATATTACAAATCAACATATTAAGTAACATTTTTTGTGTTATGCTTGAATTTATTTATTTTTTTTTTTTTTTTTAATGATTCATATATTGAAATACTTTGTAGAGATCTGTTTCAGATTAACCTCTTTTCAAGTAGTCACAAGCAAATTTGAAATATATAACAAATGTATATAAATTATCTACAAAAATTCAAACATACATATATATATATATATATATATATATATATATATTTTTTTTTTTTTTTTTCTTTTTAAATGAATTTATTTGAACTGATATTTAAAACAAGTGTTTTCATTTTTACTTTTAATGTATTTCTCATCCAATTAATATCTTCAGAAATTGGCCTGTTTGCTTTGGCATTTTTGTAATGTAAGCAAATGCATATAAAGCTGTTTAGAAATGTAAAAGTGAAAAGCCTTGGCATATTGTTTCAGAAAGAAAGACATTGAAATAGCAAAAACAAAATTGTCAGTTACACATTAATTGTCTGCGCAATTTGTGTATAGAATATGAAAGCAACTTGGTCATGCTTTTGGCTGATTCAGCCTAAAATTGTCGACTGGTTAAAGTATTTTAGTTTTGTTAATGTCAATCAAAGACAGCTGTGAAGGAATTGTTAATTTTGATTTTTCTATTTCATATCATTTGATTTCTTTCTTGTGTTTGTCTTGGACCTAACTGCTTAAAAACAACTCTATTTGAGATTACTATTTATTATAGTTAAACTTTGGCACCAATGGAAGTAGGACATACATAGCAAAGATTAACATGAAGCTCAGAACTATAGTCTTTCTTTTGTATGATGAAAATCTTTGTAAAATATCAGTAAATGATAGAAAAAGTTTTTTTTTTTTTTTTTTTTATCTAAACTGGACTTTGCTTTTTTTTAATTGCTGAGAATAAAATTACTAAGAATTATTTCTTCATATAATTTGTTTAAATTTAATGATTCTCATAAATCCTACCTCCACTATTGTAACATTCTGCACTATAATAATGCTTGAATAAACTAAAAATTAAACATGGTTTCAAATATAAAAAATATTTGAATTTTGTTTTAATTACTGAATGCTAATGCTTCTCAGTCTTCCCTATTAGACTCTTCTAATAATAACCCACTTGAGCAGCCATCTGACAGATAGGCAAATAGTTACTGAACTGTTTCATTTGTAATTCTTTCCTAGTGAGTTTCAATATGGAAGGAAAAAAGCTTTTGACATTTTATTAAGACAGGAGTGGTTTATCTGAATTCAAGTTTATTTAATACCTTGTGTGCTTTATACTTATTTTGTTACTTTTAGTGATAATATTTTGAAATCTACTCCTATTGCATGCAATGATATAATTTTGTTTCCAAAAAAATATTTTTTGTATATTTGATGATATGTAACACTCCTCCACCACCTCACTTCTAAAAAAAAAAAAAAACAATCTCTTGGGTCTCTTGTGTTAAGTTGAGGTATCTGGTTGGCTAGTGTTTCCCTAAATGCTATAGACTATTAGTACTTTAGCTTAGCTCTATAATATCGTACTGTAAATGGTAGTGCTTTATGCCGTAAAATATAAAGTTTAATTTCTGAGTTTTGCTCGGATGTTATATATTTTACTTTGATATCAACATCTTTGTTGTTATATTCACAATGTTTTGAGCTTTGTACTCTTTGGCCTTCTTCAGTCTTTGTAGAAGGCTGAAGGGTTCAATAGGCAAAATATGAGTGTAATATCCAAGATGAGAATGTTGGTCTGAATAACAAAGCATATAATAATAATGATGATTCTTTGTATCAAAACTGATATAGACCTTGCTTATGAATCTAACTGTAATTAGACATGATTTTCTGTTTGTCAATCATTATGTATGATAACGTGAAAGTCATGCTTGCTTTTATGAATTCAAATTGAGATAACTTGATACATCAAATAACCTGATTTGTAATAGTCTCCTTTTGTCAGTTAAAGTATGAAGGTTTCATCTTTTTCAGATTTGTTGCTTGCTGATAAATCTTTTTATTGTTGAAATCTTTTGCATATTTTCAAATTATTTTACAAAAATACTTAAATTTTGTGAAATGGAAGAAGCATTTTGAAATTTTTGTATCTCTTTATATAATTTTGAAAGCTCATGTTAAATCATCTTATCTGATTAAGATAAATTAAGTTTTAATTTTTGGCATTTCTAAAAGATTTTAAAATTTTCTTTCTACCAATATTCAAGCTAAATACCTTGTGTGTTGTATTATGATATGGGACTTGACCTGGTTAATATGGACTGATCAGATTAACGTGAAATCTGTGTAGTGCCTATGGTCATAGTTTCTTTTGAAATTTGAAACTAATAATTGAATCATCACAAAGATTTTGTTTCTCCAATTATTTTCACGTATGAAAATGAACCACAATAGTGAATTTTATTTTTTAATAGCTTTTATCTTAAAATCTGCTCATGTGTTTCAGGTTTGAATAATTATCTGGTATAAGCTGGCTTTGCAATGTATGCTGTATAATTTTACTCTTAATATGTTCATTTACTATTAATATTATCTGTCTTGGTTATTTCCTTTTAAATTATTTTTATTTTGTTAGTTTCCACCTTCAAATAATTTTTATCTACTATATATAAATGACCTTCATTGTTATACTTGGCTGTAATAGTTGCTTAATTAGTATTTGCTCTATCAAAATTTTATTTTGCTTTTTAGTATTATTTAGCTTGGAATGGTTTATATTTCTTTTGAGATGCTTATTCTTTTTGCTGTGTTAAATTAGATTATCATCATTAACCACCCACATGTATTATTATATGGACTGATTTAAAGTGACCATTGGTGAATTCTTTTTTTACTCAACCTATTGAATCTCTAAATATGCAGCTGGATTTTTGTTCTTAAATTGATCACTTATAAAGAAATTTAGTTAAATTTAATAGCTTTTCTTTTTTTTCTTTTATCATGTTCAGAAGTTATGGTTATATAATTGGCTTTTGCTGTATTTGGGAAGTAAATATAAATGTATTGAAGTTGTATTTTATCTTTTTCTGAAAATAGTTTTCAATCTTTCTTTGACACAGAAATTTTAGAGTTTCTGCTGCTTTTTTTCTGTGGAGTAAATAACAATTTTTTTTTTTTTTTTTTCTGAATAGAATTGTGGTGAAATTAATATAACTGAAAAACTGAGTTTTTGTCATTTAAAAAAAAACTGACTTGTTGAGAATAAGAATTGGCAGAAGAATGAGAAGAGTAATGGAAAATGTTCAAAATTGGCAATGCACACCTTTTATGCTTTGTGTGTGTGATTTTTTTTTTTTTTTTTTTTTTTTTTAAATGGAGAAATGGTGCTAGTTATATTTAGGTAAATGGTATGTTTTCTTCCAATGAACTACTAACATGTCTGTCTTTAGCATAACACTGCTATTACAACAATAAACATGGAAGTAATTTTAATGTTTTTTTTATATATATATATATATATATATTTTTTTTTTTTTTAAATGGTAGATTTCTAGAATAAATATTTCTATTCTGAATGCTAACCTGTTTTGCGTAAACCACATTAATGGCACTGATATCACTCTTAATTTCAGCTCAAAATTTATTTTAAAAGTCCAATGTTTGGTAGGGAGAGTGTAACTTACAATCATAAGATTATAATTTATACAAGTATTTATGTAATTCTTTATTTTATGGCCTTTTCCAATTTGTATAAGTAAAAAACTGTTCTGATCACTATTGGTTTCTGGATTTTACATTACATAAAAGGGTAGTGATTATCTACTCTTTTAATGTAGAATGCTCAGTGTTCTCCTTAGAAATTATTCTGTCTTTAATCCTTGCTAACTTTTTATAATCCTCAAGAGGTTTTTAAAAGGAGTTGAATAGAAGCAGAAGTTCTGAAAACAATTTATTTGGTAGCTTTGACTATAAATTGTTTTCAGCTTTATAACAACTTAGAAATTGACTTGAGTAGTTATTTAATCCTCTCTCCCTCTCCTCCTATGAAAATTGTCATTAAATTTTGCTCTCCTACTTGTTTCTGAGTGTGTTACATTAATTTCCTGGTTGTGACACAAGTGAGAAAGTTTACGTTTATATGCATTTTTGATTGGCCGACAATTCATTTTATATTTAAACAATTGTTTTAAATAAATGGACCTCCCTCAGAGATTATTCAGGCTATTTTTATTATTGATACATTTATATGTTCATTTATCAGTTGCTTATTTTGCTGAAAAAGAAATTAGTGTTTCTGTACACATTTTATTCATCATGATTAACGATCAATACTTTGTCAGTATTTGATCTAAAGTATCAGTAATAGTTTGAGTGCTTAGATATCCTATACAGCTTGAATATAATACAAGAAGTTTTTCAATCCAGTGAAAACTTATTGCCATTGATTTTGCTACTGCAACCATTATTTTTATATTAAGATTAATATCTGAATTCTAATGAAGGCAGTATGCTCTGACAAAAATTTGGTAAAATTTATTTGCATTAACTTTTGTGTACATTTACTCACTATATTTTTAACTGTAGATTTCTGTAATAATACAATATCAATCTTGTGAAATATAAGTTATCATTTGTGTGCTTTTGATTTAATAAATAAATTTATACTATAATCTTCAATCTTCTTTTACAGGTTGCTATCAAAATCATTGATAAAACTCAGATGAACCCTTCCAGTTTGCAAAAGGTAAGAGAAAAAGATTTTTCTGTTTAAATATATTTCTGAAAATTATTTTTGTAATTTAAATTTTCCATTTTCAGATTTCTTTGGTTGTAACAAGTTCTATAACATTGATTACATCAGGAGTTTATGGATTTATAGATTTCATATTTAAAATCCCATTGAACTTTATTAAAATTTTGTATATGGAATGAAACTGATTATTTGTAAGCAATCAATAGTTGACAAAATAAAGTTAATCCCTCCCTTTCCTAAATATTTTGATGCTTATACATCTTTTATACAAATTAAATTTTGAGGATTAAAATATATCATAGATGTACTAAGTTAAATGCATTGAAGCTTATTTAACATAAATAGCTTTTATAGCATATCAACTCTCATATGTTGAAAACCCACTGGCATGCTAGAAATAACTTACAAGTTGTGCAGCTTGGCAAAGTCATCTCTATAAAGTATGTGACATATACTCATGAGGATACTGAAGTAATGTTCAGCTTGATTCTTATAAAAAAAAAAAGTAAAGAAAAAGTGGTTTGAAAATTGTTTATTCTCAATGGATACTCAGTTTATGAAGAGATTTTCATTTGTTTTAATTTTTTTTTTGACATATAGATGTTCTTGCTGCTTAAAATCCTAAATAAGAATTTATTTTCTTAGTTTACAATTGGTAATAGCAATATTAGCCATTTCTCTACAAGGAAACATTAGTCAGTACTGTTTTCAGTTGAAAGTTATAAAATCTTTCTCTTAAAACAGGAAAACAGATTTCTCAAGTCCAGTAGCTCTTATCACTCTTTCCAATATTGATGGGGGTTTCCTTCCTAACCTTTTATTTGAAGTAGTGTGGAATGTTAGCATCTTATGTCATTATTTTCACTTTGATCTATGTGTGCTATTCATTTTAGCTATTGCCGCTGTTGGTAGTCCTCAAGTGATATGGTTTCTATTATTTGGTATATTATTATTTGTTATTCTGTAGCGCCAGTTCACAATATTCAAAGAAGGGTGATCTTTGCCAAGATTCTCAGAATTCACTCACTCAAAGCCTTTTTTTCACCATTGATCTTAGAAAACTATTGTATACAGCTGACAATTTAGATTGGTTTTGGCACCATGCATGACATCCATATGAAAGTCTCTATGTGATGAAACTATTTAAGAACATGACTTGAGTTTTCAGGTTGATGTTTTGTTTTTGATGTATTTGAAGTGTTTAGTATTTACTAATTCCACATCCTGGATTTTTATGATGCCATCACTGTTTATATTCCAATTCCAGATTGTTTCTGTTTTCAAAAGGTTTATTCTGTTTCTTGGAACACTTGGTAGAGGATGTTGATTTTCTGTTAAAGATCATTCTTATCCCAACTATGAATATCTATGTCATCAGCATACCACCATCTCATCAGCAGTATATTAGCCTTGGGAGTGAAAGCAGGGTTATCATTTTCTATTTCAGTTGAATTACTATTAGCCAATGTATATTGAAAATAGGAACTCACTGAATACTTTCATGGCAATAGTGGGGGATCTTAAATTCAATACTAAACATTGAATTGACTAATCTGGGAAGTGGGGTTGATTATTGCCATGTTACCACTAGGAAATTTACAGATTCAAATTTTTGTGTGGATTTTGTTGCTGAAGGTTTTCGGTTTTGAATTGAACCAAGTGACTTTTTTCCCTGACAGAAAATAATACCCCCTCTTGGCTAATCTTTCTTTTTTTTTCTTTCTTTTTGGGGTATGGCTCCATCTAATTTAACACCTTTACTTTATTTTTCTCTATATCCTATATTGACAGCTAAAATAATATTTGAATATATTTTTAGTATTAATCAGTTGAGTTATAATGTCTCACTTTTAAGCCATAGAATTCTTTTTGCTTTTCTTGCAGAAATCCCTCTATCCTCGTATTGGTTTTTTATGACAGGTTGACCCTTGCATTATTTAATGTTGAATTTTGTATGGGCACCTAGTGAGGATTGAACTCGCTACTCTAGTAATGGTTAACCAGAAAAACTTCATTTAACCATTATCCCATGCCTACATTCAAAATTACTGTTCCGACTACTAGAGCCAGAAATTCTATTCTGTTTATCCAACTATTAATAATGCATAATACTATTTTCATTTCTTTAGGTGTTTAAGTAGAAATATCTGTATTTGACTTGGCTTAAGTTAGATTGTTGTTTTGTAATGTAGTGTGCTTTATCTCTTTGTTTTTTTTTTCTTTTCTTTTATAGCCTACCATTTTTTTTCTTTTTTAGCCCACCATTAATATTCTAATGCAAAATTTTGTGCTTTTACTCTTTACTGACTTTGTAATGATATTTTTGTTTTCAGATTAATTATTAAATTTTCTCTTATAATTGTTTCGTTTACATTTAACCTTGAATATTTAGCCATTTTTTTTTTTTTTTTTTTTTTTTTTTTTTATATTGCTATCTAAATTTCCTTGATTTCTGCTTGTGTTTTTTTTCTCTTGAAACTATCATTACTCTGTGTGAGCATTTTATCATGACAATTTCTTAAATTAGTTTTATCTGGTAGGTGTTTTAATGCTGAAGTGCTAACTGCTGCCATTCTATAATAAAAATGTATATTAAAGCTGGCATAAATTGACAGCTGGAACTTTCTTTTTGACTGTTAACATTTTCTTTTTTTTTTTCTTTTTTTTTTCTTTTTTTTTCTTTTTTTAATAATCTCACATCATGAATTTTGTTGGCCAGTATTGTTTCATAATCATTTTATAATAGAAAAGGAATATAATTTCTATTTTTCTATCTACCACTTGAATACCTTTATTTACTAAATTACTTATAAGCAATTTGTATAAAATTTTCTGATATAACATTAGACTATCTCCCTTCTCAGTGTACATTTTAGTTAGCATTAAATTTTTGTATTGTATAATTCTATATACACCATAATTTTTTACTTTTTTTTTTTTTTTTTTTTTTTCCTCCCTTCAGTATATTGTAAATAATAGGAAATCTATTATGTAATGGAACTTTTTCTCAGGATGGTTCTTCCAAAGATAAAAATACTTCCTTTGTATTTCTAGCTAAATTGTGTGCAAAAAGAAAATTTATTGAGGATATTACATCTTGGTTGAAAGAATAATAATAACAGATGCTGATGTTAAAAGAAAAATAGTATCGTGTGTATGTTTTAAAGAATTCAAATATTAGCTTGATAACGCCTAAAGAATTTTTTCTGAACAATGACTTATTTTTTTATTTTAAAAAAAAAAATAAAAGCAGTATTTACAGGGTGGTCTGAAAATCTTGTCACCCATGCATAATATAATCAAGGAGAGAGAGATTCACATGAATGATACTAGAATGCCAATCAGTTGAAGGACGTTATTCAGAGAGCCTTATCAACAAAGCACAACTTTATAAAATATTATACGGATTATGGCACTGCACGATTTTGTGCCATGAAAATCGTGTTCATACAGACCTTCTCAATGTATGACAGTGTTAATGATAGTGAATAAACTAAATTCAGTACATGTGCCTCGTATTACTGTATTACTTGTTCTTCTATTGTGATCATCACATTTTAACCACCATGTACATCCCCACCCTCCCTCCCCCAAAAATGCTCTTCTAGCAGGCACTTGTTTAATCCATCTAGTGGTATTGTAAGAATTTCTTTCATGATGAATTATCTTTTTCTTACTATGCTGCTATTTATCAGGTTAATTTTTCAGTCAAATTCTTTTTAATTATATCAAGAATTTTTAATTTTGTCCCTTGTAAATTTTTGTCTGATCTTTGTCTATTTTTCCAGTTTGCCTATTTCGCTCTGTCCCTTCAAGATGTTGGCATTCATGGCTCTCCAGTTTCCTTTTCTTTGTAGCCCTTAATAAATTACATATTTTTGTTATCTCTCCTAAGCCCTATTTACTTAAGCTTCCTAGGTAGGTTATGCATTGTTTTCCTCTGTCCCTTCAATCCTATGTTTATCAAATTTTCCCGATTCCTTCCTCATTATTCAACTCTCTCTTCCTGATGTTAAGTATAAGTGTCCTTTTTGTTTCTATTTTCTCTAAAACTTTGTCATTGCCTACATGTTCAGTCCATGGTATTCTCAACATCCTTCTGTAGAACTAGCTTTCATTTGTTTCAAATATCTTCATCTATGAGGAGATTGTCCAGCATTCACTCTCATGTGGGAGGACTGATATTCCATGACAGTTCAGTACTGTTTCCTTTGTTTATTATGAAATTTTCCTGTCTTAATGCTTTGCTTAGCATTTTGGAAGACATCTTTTGCTATCCCAATGTGTCTTCGGATTTCAGTATCACACTTTTCATCCTTTTGCTTATTTACCAATAGGAAATAGAATGTTTTTTGAAGTGAATTTTTGAAATTTGATTGATGTAGGCTTGTCTGGAGATCTAAGTAACTACCTTTTGTTTTCTTAGTTTGGTATGTTATGAACAATGATGGATACTGAAATTTTATTGGCCTGACCAAGAAGCCCTTTCAAAAAAAATTGATGTTTAGTCATTTGGACAGATTTGGTGAATTGAGTTAAGCTAAGAACTTTTTGGTGACTGTTTGTTTCATAATGGAAGTTTTTAAATTACCCCCCCCCCCGTTTTATTCATTGATTTCTCTTTGAGAGACAGTTCAGGAGTTTCCTAGCATTTCAATTAGGTTCTATGTAATTGTTCTATTTAAATCTTTGTAGATTTCTTGAATAAACCTTGTTTTATTTGTAAAAACAATCTTAATTTTATTTTTTAGGTTACAAGATTTAATATAGATTTGTATATAATCTATAATTGAACATTAGCTCTATCATATCTTTTTCTCCATGTTTTATATATCTCCTAATATTTTTGTTAACATTTGTTATTGCAGTTCATGTTTTTCTTTTAATTTTCTTTTTTGCATTAAATATTTATATATTTTTATATATCTTTCATTTTGGTTTTTACTCTTTATTTTTAACATAACATGGCTGATGCTAACTTCCAGGAGAGT